TTAAAAACTGAGAGGCAATCCAGATTGGCATAAAATAGCATGCTTATATATAGAAAAAGCTCACCCTTACTTTCACTCCACCTACAACATTTCTCTCTCCCCCTCTCTTTATCTTTCCTTTACACACACACACACACACAATATTAAATAAGAAGCTGAAATCACTGAGGACAACTTGAAATCTTTCCTTGGAATCAACACTACTTTTCTTCACTATTGTCCTGGTAAATCCCAGCTATAGGTAGAGGTGTTCCTACCAGATATTGCTCCACCACCAGATAGCTAAGTAGGAACATCACCTACAATATGCCAAGGAACCCAAGAGAATATTCAACCAGAAAAAATTCCATCCCCAAAATAGCACCTCCCAGGAGATGACTACAGTTCCAATAGGAAATCATTTAACTACAAATCCCAACTCCTCTTCACTCCTACAGCCTCAGTCACACATTTCAAAGGACTGCTCCCTTGAATCGTGACAGCTTGACACACATCAGCAGCCCACAGGCCATATGGCAGCATAATGCCCTTCTAGCCCATTGGATAGGAAAAGGGAGGGACGACCACAAATGAATGATTGCAACTGAAATCCTGTAATTTCATATTTGTCAATAACCTTTGACATTTGGGGATTGTCTTCATACCTTAATAACTCTTGGCAGCCAGAAGATGTAACTGTGGACACCTAAAATGCCTCTGAAAGCATTTCATTGTCTGGGAACAATGAGGCGAAGAGTTAAGTTCTGTCTGAGGATAGAGAAGATGCCCTACATCTCAGACTGCATTATTCCTTGGTCAGTAATTTTAAAGATTTGGGGGGTAAAGACTCTTGGCATTCTAAAGATAAAAAGCTAAGATGCAAGAGGGACCAGGCATGTTGGCAGGAAGTGGAATATGGAAACATATACCATATACATAGGATGTAGTGGGAAGTGCACATAAAGTGGAATTGATAGTCCTATTATGTCTGCAATTAGTAAACTGCACTGATCAAACAGGCATCTGAGCTGAGTTGAATCAAGTCAGGCAAAGAAATTTACATGAATAACAGAATCATAGCTCTCACATGGAAAGAGGGATTTATCACACATCCTCCAAATGTTCCTCTACTTAATGACACTCCAAAATATCCTTGTCTGATGCTCATCTCCCAGTAATAGATGCAACCTGTGCAATACGAAGTGCATTTTGAGGGAAAAATCTGAGTGCAGGCCTGAGTCCTGAATTGTTGATTTATCAGCCATGCAGCATTGGCCTTCCTAATTGTCAACCACAATATGAGGAGCCTAGACTAATTGACTGCCAACAACTCATTCAATTCAACATTCTCTAGGCAGTGATAGGGAATTATCTCCAGAGATAATTCTTTTTGCGACTGGACAATTCTGACTATTAAAATGTTCTTACTTATTCAAAGTCAAAGTACACTTGCCTATGCTTTCTACCAATCTGAGTTTTTATACAACAAGCAGATAATCTTCTCCCACTAGCTGCTTCTTACTTTGTTCCCTTTGTTGTTGTTGTTTAGTTGCTAAGTCATGTTCAACTCTTTTGTGACCCCATGGACCATAGTCCCACCAGGTTCCTCTGTCCATGGGATTTCCCAGACAAGAATACTGGAGTGGACTGCCATTTCCTTCTCCAGGGGTTCTTTCTGACCCAGGGATCAAACCTGAGGCTCCTTCATTGACAAGTGGATTCTTTACTACTAAGATACCTGGAAAGCCCTTGTTCCCTTTACCATCCATCTGGCCAATCATCTACTTACTTGACTCAGAACACATAACAAGTTGTCCACATCCGTATTGAGAAGTGAGTGTCAGAACTGAATGAAAAGCTAGAGAAACCATCTGACAATGGCCAACTGAAGGACACCACCACTTATTTTGTTCTAGTTAATTTACTTTTCTTAATGCATCCTGAAACAGCATTACCTTTTGGGCTACTACATCACACCACCACTGCCACAATACCCCTTCTTTTACTCATGGCTTCTACCCTATACTTGCAAAGTTGAATTTAGAACCAAAGTCAGAATTTTACTTTTAATTCAGTAAGATTCAATTTTATTAGATTTGAGCTACTTGCGTGATATGCTAAAATCTCCTTGGATCTTCAGTCTCTCCTAAAAATACTTGCCATCTTCTACATTTTCTTTTCTTTTTCTGTTTTTGACTGTACCACACAGCATGGGGGATATTAATTCTGAAACCCAGGATCAAATCATGCTCCCTGCAATGGAAGCACAGAATCTTAACCACTGCACCACCAGGGAAATCCCTCTGCCCAAATTTTCATCCAGGTTACTGATAAGAATATAATGATCATAACATGGTCAAGAAAACAGTCCTGGAGCCAACTACTAGGATTGTCCTCTATATGGATAAGAAACGGTAAGATTTGTGCCCTCTGATCATTAAAACATTGCAGCCTAGATTGCCCCAGCATTGCCACTCTCTGACTCCACTTTTCTCAGCTCACTCACTTCTGCCCCTGCAATGATTTCCACCATTAAGGTCACCCAGGACATAGGATACTTTGAAAGAAACTACCGTTTCAAGTGCCAAAAATATAAAAATGTCTTTTTAAAAAGGAGAAAAGTTCACTCCTAGAGTAATGTGGTGTATGGGAAATAATGTGGAAGTTGGAGTCAAAATGACCTGGAATTGAATCATGGTTCTGTAACTTACACGCTGGGTAATCTTCTCCCTATCACTATCAGCTCCCTCATCTCAAAATTAGGGATGATAATAATGACCTCACAGGATTGTTTCTGAAGATTAGAAGAAATAGATACAAAATCCTAGCACATTCTTGGCACATACTGAATGGACATACAGTATGGATTATGACTATTATTATCCTGGTGAGAGAGAGACAGTAGCTCCTGGCACAAAAAGATAAACCTAAGAAGAAAAGAGAAGAAAATGAAGATCTATGTTCTGTGGATGTTAACTACTAATGTTTCACAAAAGGAAAGAAAATGAGGGCATGAAACAAAGATTTTAAAGCTCGGACATACGCATACCTCACCAACTCTAAACAAGATCATCTCCTCACCCCACACCCCCACCCCTGCCAACCATCGCACCCATACATTTATTCGATCATATCTCAGGAACTGTTACAGGGTCCAAGAATACAAAAGATGATTCAAGACCCAGTCAATACCAGAATGAGAAGAAATGCAAAATAGGGCACTGGGCACTACAGATACATAAGTAATTAAAGTATCATCAGTGCTATAAGGGAGATTAATATAGAGTATATGAGAGGACAGTGATCTACCTGGAGATGTAAAGTGAGGCTTTATGAAGGAGGTAGTGATTCTGGAGAGGCTTAAAGAATGAAAAGAAGCTAAGGTTGAGGGACTCCCCAGTAGTATAGACAGCATATAGAGATCCTGAATAGTAGTAGACTATTAAAAGGTTATGCAAGGAATGTGGATCAGTATAGAGTGACTTTCCCATAAAATGCAGGTGATAAGAGAAGTAGCTAAAAGGATACAGATTCATTACTACTGTGAAGGGGCTTATATGTCCGGTAAAGAAATTTGGAATTCTCCAGGCAAGTAGGAGCCACCAGAAAGAGTAAAGTATAAGAGAAAAATGATAAGAGTAAAAGATGAATCAAGAAGGCTAACAGTGGAAGGGTTGGTTATAACACTTTTTACTAATGTCCAGTCAAAAGATGGTGAGGCCTAGAACTGAGATTGCCACACTAGAGATAAAGGTCTGCATAATAGACCTTCATATAGAAGTGACACCTCATGACATGACATGAGGGCTAAAGAGAGAGAGAAATGGAAAATGACTCTGTGGGGCTTTAGACACTCAGCAGATAGAGATATCAGGTAAGTTCTCTCAGGATTAAGAGGTGGAATTTATTAATAAAAAGGGACCTGTGGTAGGTGCTTGTAACGTTGGCATGTAACATGGGCCATGATCCCAGACTTCAGCACCCAGCAAGCTCCTCCAGGCTACAATCTCCTTGCTCTTCTGGGGAAGGAAGGAAATAAAAGGGAATACATTTCACCTTGTCTACTTGTTCCTAAGCAAGGTGGAGATCTGGATGTACATGTGGTCTCATCCTCCTCAACCTGGAAGATGGCATATTTTGGTACAAGGCATGATAATTAATTCAGTTTGAATAGTATGGACTGAGATACAGGGGGACATCCAAATGGAAATGTAATCTGTTCAATATACAGTCTGGGAATAAAGAGAGAGGCCAAGGATAGGCATCTCCTGTATATTTATGAGGTCAATGAGAAAAGCCACAGCTTATTCCACAGGAAGAGTAGGTAGAACATGTCTCTGATACCCCAATTAACAACCTTGAAAACAAGACTAATGATTCTTGTCCAATAAGTTCATGCCACCTCCTAGTGATCACTGCTTCTAATTCAAGAGCCCACTTTCTTGTTCTCTTTTGAAAAATCAAAATTAAATTTGCCTATCTTCTCTGGATTCATTACACTTTGTAGAAGATCAACATTCATCATGGCAAATTCTCTCAGGATTCAGAGATGGAATTTATTAATAAAAAAGGGACCTGTAAGTAGATGCACGTAACGTTGGCTTAAATATAAGCCAAATTTAATTTTTTCAAAAATGTATACTCTACTACTCCTCTAGAGACAAGGATAAGGAAGCACACTTATCAGTAGATATTTATCAAGTATCTACCATTCAAAGTGGGGGTAATAACAACAACAACAAAACCCAGAAGGTGTGGACCCTGCACACAAAGAACCTATGCTAGCCAAAGGGAATCTTCCATGAAATCTACAGTATGCACGGGAATGATGTAAACCTAAATTGTAACTTGGTAAAACAAGTACAGATGAATAAGTGAGCAAGTTGGGAAGTAAACAGGTCACTAGAGAAATAGAGGTGGAGATATGGGTGGATCTGAGTTTGGTTAGGAATGAATCAGACCATCCTACAGAGGACGGCTCCTCCCTGGATGGACCTACTATAAAAAGGCCATGATCCCAGATTTCAGTACCCAGCAAGCTCCTCCAGGCTACAATCTCCTTGCTCTTCTGGTGAAGGAAGGAAGTAAGTAAGAGGGACTAAATCTCACCTTGTTTACTTGTTCTTAAGCAAGGTGGAGATCTGGTTGTACATGTGGTCTCAGGCCAAAAGTTCTGGATGTTTGGGGTCCTTTATTTTTAGTCGTTATGTTACTAAAAGTTTATTTTGACACAGAAGGAAAATGAGGGCGTAAATTTGCTTTCCACCTGGCTACTTTCTTAATATTTTTTGTTTATCTATTTACCCATTCACTGAACAAATATGTATGAACTACCTTCTATTTGCCATATGCTACTCTTGGCTGATTATGCGGCAATGAACAACATAAACTTAGCAGCAGAAGACATTCAGTCAACAAGAAATGAATAAAAAATCAAACAGTGATAAGAACAATGAAGAAAATAAGACAGTGATACAGTAAAGTAATAGGATGGTACTTGAGATTGAAGGGTTAGGAAAGGACTGTTTGGGGAATTATCTTATGAGCAGAGATATTAATGACAGAAGAAAGGCAAACAAAAGGATTCTAAAGCAGTAGTAAACCCTTTAAAGGACATAAAGATGCTTGGGTGCCTAGAGCATGTTTAACATGAGGAACAGTGGTATATAGTGAGTCACAGAACTAGACAGGCCATGTAAAGAGGGGCACGGTAGAGTTTGTACATTATTTGAAGTCAATGAGAAGCCACTGGAGAGTATTAAGCAGGAAGAGTAACAAGATCACTCTGAGCTGCTATATGGAAAATAGGATCATAGGCAATGGTGGGAGAAAGGAGATGGACTGCAGTTTAGATGAGAGATGATGGGGTAATTTGTTCAAACACAAGTCTAGAAGCTACGCATGTCTCCATTCTCTGCTTTACACGACACTGATTATTCTCTCTGATCAGCCAACTCTGACTGTAAGACATGCCAGTCCATCTGTCCTCCTATCCACACTACCATCTTAATATAGGCTATCCCTTCATTCCACCTCTATTATATGAAAATACCACACATTATTTATTCATTTTTATTGATAGATATTTGGGTTGTTTTCCTTTGGGGAGATATTATAAATAATGGAGCTATGAACATTTTTGTTCATGATTTTTGGTTACAAATGTGTATATATTTCCATTGAGGATATTCCTAGGAGTAAATTGCTGGTCTTAGGTATTATCAAACAATTCTTGAAAGTATTTCTGCCAGCTTATGCTCCTTCTAGGAGTGTATGAAACACCCAGTTTCTCCATATCTTCCCCAATAGGTGGAATTAGTATTCTTTTTTTCTTTTTGTCTTTTTAGTTATTTTGGTGGGGGTGTTGTAGTCTCACACTGTTAATTTTAACTTGTAGCTCCCTGACAATTAACAAAATTGAGAACTTTTTGTGTTTATTAGACATTTGTATATCCTATTTTGCAAAGCTCTCATACTATCTAACCATTTTGCTATGGGGCCATCCATATTTCTTGTATTGATTTAGAGTAGTTATTATATATTCAGGACAGAGCCCTTTATTGGTTAAATGTTGCATATATTCTTTCACTCAATGGCTTTCCTTCTCTTCTTAAGAGTCTTTGAATAAACAGACATTCCTATTTTTAATGCACTCCAATTTATCAATTTTGTTCTTTATCATTAATATGTTTTAAGTTCTCTTTAAGAAGTATGTCTCTACCCCAAGTTCTTGAAAATATTCTCCTATGTTATCTCCTTCACCTTTCTTTAAAGACTATGTTAGACTTGGAGGCAAATAATCACTCTCTTTTAAAAAATATTCATTTATTTGTTTGGCTGTGCCGGGTCTTAGTTGCAGCACATGGGGTCTTTGATTGTTGTGGCATGTGGGATCTTTTAGTTGCAGCATGTGGGATCCAGTTCCCTGACCAGAGACTGAACCTGTGCCCCCTGCATTGGGAGTGTGGAGTCTTAGCCACTGAAGTTCGGTCCCCTTTATCTTTCACATGTAAAATCCACCTGAGAAGAAATTCATTTTTCCATATGGGAATTCAATTAACCCAGCACCATTTATTCAAAAGACCATACTTTCCCTGCCAACTCTCATAACAACCTTTTTCATAAATTAAATGTGCATAATGATATATAAGATCTTTCACTTATCTATTTGTTTAATGTTGCATCAGTGTCATGCTGTCTTCTTTTATAATACACTTAACATCCAATATGTCCACAAAGTTGGTCTTCTTCAGTGTTGTTCTGGCTAATCCTGGACCCCCACATTTTAATATAAATTTCAGACACTGCCTTACCAATGAAACAGATCACCAGCCCAGGCTGGATGCATGAGACAAGTGCTTGGGCCTGGTGCACTGGGAATACCCAGAGGAATCGGGTGGAAAGGGAAGTGGGAGTGGGGATCAGGATGGGGAATACATGTAAATCCATGGCTGATTCATGTCAATGTATGACAAAAACCACTACAATATTATAAAGTAATTAGCCTTCAACTAATAAAAATAAATGAAAAAATTTTTTTTAAAAGAAAAAAAAATTTCACAGATTCTGAATGAAATTTTATTGCACGTAAAAATGAGTTTGGGGAGATCTAACATCTTGACAACATTGACACTTACAACACACAAACAAGGCACAATCTTCCATTTATCCATATCTTTTTAAATTAGCCTCAATAATGCTTATAATTTTCTGAGTTCATATATTTCATATCTTTTGTTAGATTTCAGTTCAGTACAGTCGCTCCGTTGTGTCTGACTCTTTGCAATGCCATGGACTGCAGCACACCAGGCCTCCCTGTCCATCACCAACTCCCAGAGTTTAAACAAACTCATGTCCATTTTGTCAATGATGCCATCCATGTCATTCTCTGTCATCCCCTTCTCCTCCCACCTTCCATCTTTCCCAGCACCAGGGTCTTTTAAATGAATCAGTTCTTTGCATCAGGTGGCCAAAGTATTGGAGTTTCAGCTTCAGCATCAGTCCTTCCAATGAACACCCAGGACTGATTTCCTTTAGGATGGACAGGTTGGATCTCCTTGCAGTCCAAGGGACTCTCAAGACTCTTCTCCAACACCACAATTCAAAAGCATCAATTCCTCGACGCTCAGCTTTCTTTATGGTCCAACTCTCACATCCATACATGACTATGGAAAAACCACAGCTTTGACTAGACGGACCTTTGTTGGCAAAGTAATATTTCTGCTTTTTAATATGCTTTCTAGGTTGGTCATAACTTTTCTTCCAAGGAGTAAGCATCTTTTAATTTCATGGCTGCAGTCACCATCTGCAGTGTTTTGGAGTGCAAAAAGATAGTCTGTCACTGTTTCCATTGTTTCCCCATCTATTTGCCATGAAGTGATGGGACCAGATGCCATGATCTTAGTTTTTCTCATGTTGAATTTTAAGCCAAATTTTTCACTCTCCTCTTTCACTTTCATCAAGAGGCTCTTCAGTTCTTCTTCACTTTCTTCCATAAGGGTGGTGTCATCTGCATATCTGAGGTTATTGATATTTCTCCTGGCAATCTTGATTCCAGCTTGTGCTTCATCCAGTCCAGCATTTTCTCATGATGTACTCTGCATATAAGTTAAATAAGCAGGGCGACAATATACAGCCTTGACGTACTCCTTTCCCAATTTGGAACCAATCTGTTTGTTCCATGTCCAGTTCTAAATGTTGCTTCTTGATCTGCATACAGATTTCTCAGGAGGCAGGTCAGGTGGTCTGGCATCCCTATCTCTTGAAGAATTTTCCACAGTTTCTTGTGATCCACACAGTCAAAGGCTTTGGCATAATCAATAAAGCAGAAGTAGATGTTTTTTCTGGAACTCTCTTGCTTTTTCAATGATCTAACAGATGTTGGCAATTTGATCTCTGGTTCCTCTGCCTTTTCTAAATCCAGCTTGAACATCTGGAAGTTCTGGGTTCATGTACTATTGAAGCCTGGCTTGGAGAAGTTTAAGCATTACTTTGCTAGTGTGTGAGATGAGTGCAATTGTCTGGTAGTTTGAGCATTCTTTGGCATTGACTTTCTTTGGGATTAAACCTTTGTTAGATTAACTTCTAGCAATTCCCTGACTTTTTATACACTTTTGTAAATAGCATCATTCCTTATTTAAATTTCTGTTTCTTGGTTTTGTATAGAAATACAAATGAATTTTGTATATTTATCTTGTATCCAGCAACATTGTTAATTTTATTTATTCTAGTAGCCTATACATTTTTTTTAAAATTTCAACATATGGAAGCCACATCATTCTTCAGTAACAGCAGTTTTCTTACTTCATTTTCAATTATTCTGTTTTTCATTCTTTGTCTTAATTTTTGCTCTACCTAGGAACTTCAAAACAATGTTGCATATATTAGCAAGTGTACTGATCTCATCCAAAAACTGAGCAAGAAAAGTTTTCAGCATGTAACCATTAAGTATGCTGTTTACTATAGTACCATCAAGGTGAAAGTGAAAGTGAAAATCGTGCGGTCCTATCCGACTCTTTCCGACCCCATGGACTATAGAGTCCATGGAATTCTCCAGGCCAGAATACTGAAGAGGGTAGCCTTTCCTTTCTCCAGTGGATCTTTCCAACACAGGAATCCAACCAGGGTCTCCTGCATTGCAGGTGGATTCTTTACCAACTGAGCTGTCAGGGAAGCCCTAATTGTACCATCGTAAGTACAATTCGTATTTATAAATAAAAATTAATGTTGGACATTTTTATGGACAAGAACATATTTTTATTATAATTACTTCCTTATAATGCATTTTATTCATTCACTGCCAGAATTTTCAGATTCTATTGGAATGAGAAAAATTGAGCCAGGAATATGCTAAGCTTTAATTTGCATGTCCATTGTAGGGGTTTTATCAAATGTTTTTTCCATCTATTAAGAGGTTCAAAAAAGCTGTTTTCCCAGTATTTTATCAGTTCTCATATATTAAAACAAACATCTTTGGAGTGAAACTTTCTTAAGTATAATGCATATTCTTTTTGTACAATATTAGATTCAGTTTAATATTTTCTTTCAGATTTTTGCATCTATATTCATAAA